AAGAACCTTGAACCTCTGGAACTGTGGACACGTTTAGGTCAGATTGTGAAAGAAAACAATGGAGAACATGTGAGCTGTGATTTATCTGAAACTGGAGCAGATGGTTCTCATCAAACCCTGAAACATCAGCTGTCAGTGCCTGCAAACATGGATCCTGCTCGAGCTGCTGGTGAGTTCAGGAAAACATAAGAAAACATTTTTCTGATCAGAGACAGATTGTGATCACATGTATTTATACCACGGTTAAGCTCGATAAGCATGTTAGGCCACAGCATTACAGACACTGACTTACTCACTAAAATGTGGAAATGTTAAAGTGTCAACAAAAGTGCTGCTTGAAAAGGGTAGAATCAGAATTCTAACAATTATTTTAAATAATTATAATTCTTTCATGTATTTCAAATATTCAGGGCGTGGGCTGCATCTTCAGCTTGATTTGATTTATTTAGTTTGTATATTATTTAACTGAGGTTTGTTTTGCAGTCACACGTATGTGGGATGTGTTCAAGTGCAGTATTTCACTGTATACGTTTACTTGTTGCTGGAGTGTGTGGGGGTCAATCTCTTAAATTTTATTGGTGGTATGATCGGTGGGTTTTTCGTGGGCTGGGATGTGCTGCTGGTGAGAGTGTTGAGCTTTTTGTATCTGTAAGAGAAATACATTCAGAGCTCTGAAAAACAACTGAAGTTGTGGTTGTTTTTTCCATCATCTGGTTTCCTTCATGTTAAACACTGACTGCTACACTCTGTTACATTCTTTTAAAATGAAGACGTCACAAATACAAATGTGATGATTTTGCCATCAGTGTTGGTTCGTCCACGTGTCACTGACAGAGAATTAAAACAGTAAAAATAAATATAAATTTATGTAGCTGCATGCATACATTAGTATATTAGTGTATGTTGTGATATTGTCCAAGTCAAAGCATGTGAAAAGAAAACAGGAGACTTGACCACAGAGGTTAACAAACCAATAGAAACTGTTGGGAACCAAGTATAAGTAAATAGTCTCTAAATAAAAAATTTCAAAATGAAGTAAAATATGTATGATTGTATTTTTATGTATAGATCAATCAATTACTTTCATTTCTTGTTTGGCAGCTCGTGGACTCAGGATTGTGCTGTTTGGGAAAAGTGAGGAAGAAAAGACGACACTTGGAAACTTCATCACAAAGGAAAATTCTTTTCTTTTCAAAAAGTTTTCTCTAAACACAAAGTGTGAGTTTGCTCGTGGAGCGTGGAAAGAAAAACCAGTAACAGTGGTGAAAACTCCCGACATGTTCAGTCTGTCTGTGGAGAGACTGAGAGAGGAGATGAAGAGCTGTGTGAGTCTCTGTCCTCCTGGACCAAACGTTCTGCTGCTGTTGGTCAAACCTTCTGATTTCACTGAGGAGAACAGA